TTTTTAAATAGAAACAAAACCATCTAGAGCAGTGTAATACATTTTAAAAATAAAAAACCACCTAGAGCAGTGTAATACTTTTTAAAAATAAAAAAACCCACCTAGAGCAGTGTAATACTTTTTAAATAGAAACAAAACCATCTAGAGCAGTGTAATACATTTTAAAAATAAAAAACCACCTAGAGCAGTGTAATACTTTTTAAAAATAAAAAAAACACCTAGAGCAGTGTAATACTTTTTAAATAGAAACAAAACCATCTAGAGCAGTGTAATACATTTTAAAAATAAAAAACCACCTAGAGCAGTGTAACACTTTTTCAAATAAAAAACCCACCTAGAGCTTTAAAATGTATTACACTTAGAAACAAAACCATCTAGAGCACTGTAATACTTTTTCAAATAAAAAAACCCACCTAGAGCAGTGTAATACTTTTTTCAAAGAAGTTTAATATCTAACACTTGTTATATTTTCACTCAAAACATAGATATTAGTATCTTAGCTAGTGAGTCAGAAAGTGTAAATTTTAAGACTGAGGAGGAGTAGGCAATTTATAGTTATGAAGTAGAGGTCTCTGTTCTAGTAAAGACGTTACCTTTAGAGAGTAGTAGTTCCAGAATTCCTAGGTGTCCTTCTTTTGCTGCCACCATCAAGGCAGTACGACCTTTGCTGTCAGTTTGTTCCAACTCAGCCTTGTGACTCAGTAAGAACTCAACCACCTCCCAGTAGCCTGCAACCACAGCACAAATTAATGGTGGCTCCCCCTGGCAGTTAGGAAGAGAGAGAGAAGCACCACGCCTCAATAACATATCACAGACTTCAATATGTCCTGCAAAGCAGGCTGTGGTAAGGGGTGTTTGACCCATGAGGTCGTCTTGAGTGTTCACTCTCACTTCACTCATGTCCAGTAAAAATTCACACACCTGAAATGTGAAGAAAACCTGTAAATTTATCTAGTTTTCATGTAGAAAAATCATGACAAATGATCTTAACCCTAAACAGACAAGCCACAACAACAGTTTAACACAGATGTTCCCAGGCTTTCAGGTCTAAAGCCCCATTTGAGTACCTAGTTAACGTTCTGGGACCCATGCTCTCAACTTGTGGATGGGCGGGGGGCATTTGTATCTATTCCAGGAAAGTCTATAAGTGCTCTTATATTTCATGTTTTATTTGTTTTGAAAGATTTTACAACAATCATTTTATAAATACCTTTAAAACCAACATTTTTATTTTTTACAGTATGTTTTCTACAACCAGAAATTTGATTACCACTGGCTTAATTTTTCTGACAAAAATGTCGAGTGAATTAACTCATAGTATGAAACTTTTACTTAATGTAAAATACGCATAATGTAAAAGGAGAGGTAACAGTAAAAAACAAATACGTTTTTCAAGAAACACTGTAGTAAAACTGTGATGATGTTGGATATCAAATAAGCAGTTTTATTCAGTAAAACTGTTATAATGTTGGATATCAAACAAGCAGTTTTATTCAGTAAAACTGTGATGATGATGATGGATACCAAACAAGCAGTTTTATTCAGTAAAACTGTGATGATGTTGGATATTAAATAAGCAGTTTTATTCAGTAAAACTGTGATGATGATGGATATGAAACAAGCAGTTTTATTCAGTAAAACTGTGATGATGATGGATACCAAACAAGCAGTTTTATTCAGTGAAACTGTGATGATGATGATGGATATCAAACAAGCAGTTTTATTCAGTAAAACTGTGATGATGTTGGATATGAAATAAGCAGTTTTATTCAGTAAAACTGTGATGATGATGGATATGAAACAAGCAGTTTTATTCAGTAAAACTGATTTTCAATATTGTGACCAGATACTTAAGCCATTTAAAATATAAATTATTTTTATAATAACCTATGATAACAAATGATTAAAGTTAATAGAGCATACCTTTATGTAAAGATATTATGTTTAAATAATTAGAAATTCATTACCAAAACCAGAAGAGTAGCAAGAAAATGATAATTACTAAAGTTACACAATATAAATACACTTCAATGTAAAGAAGGTTGTAATTCAGTAAACTTAAAGTGAAACCTACAGACATAAAGCCATTTTGTGAGGCTGCAACTACTGCTTGCTGGCCCACTTTTCCAAGTCCTGGCTCTCCTGTCCATTCAGACTGTAAGAGGTTGCTGACGACTTCTAAGTGACCATTCATGGAAGCATAAACCAAAGAACACCTTCCAGTTTTGTCAGGCTGGTTTATCTTAAATAAAGGAAGAGAAGAACTGACTGTAAAGTAACTTCTTTAAACTTACACCAGGCTGGTTTATCTGTGAATAAAGGAAGAGAGGAACTGACTGTAAAGTAACTTCTTTAAACTTACACCTGGCTGGTTTATTTGTGAATAAAGGAAGAGAGGAACTGACTGTAAAGTAACTTCTTTAAACTTACACCAGGCTGGTTTACAGGACTGCTGTAGTTTTTTAAATCTAATCAAAAGAAGGTATCAAAATGTAGTTCAAATATTCAGAAAGTTAAAAACTAAAAGTAAGTAATTGTGCTTGTTCAGGATTGACTTACTTTAGCACCTTTGTTCAGCAAAAGACAGACAATCTCTAAATAGCCTTGTTTGCTGGCTGTGCACAGAGGACTCAGACCATCTGAAGCTGTAGCATTTGGGTCAGCTCCAAACTCCAAGAGCAATGATACCATGTCTGGATACCCCTGGTGAGCAGCGATAACAAGAAGAGGAGCATTATTCAGCTGAGAAGTTCTGTAGTCAGGATTTGCTCCGGCAAGCAGCAACAAGCGACTGACCTAAGATATCCAAAGTTAATGGTGAACAAAATCGTTAGACATTGGGAGATCTCTTTAACCGAGAAGTAAAATATATGTGCAGACTACTTATAATAATATCCTTGTATAAACCTATTTGATTTTAAGGCATAATACATTTTATATTTGATAAAAGGAAAAAAGCACAATTCAAGCTTTAAGTGCTACGTGTGTTCCACAGAACGTAAACTAAAAGATTGTCTAGTGCTTCCCTATAAAACATGCTTAAATCCCAAAAATTCACACTATTAAATGTAGATATCACACCAGTAGATGTAAATATCACACTATTGAATGTAGATATCACACCAGTAGATGTAAATATCACACCAGTAGATGTAGATATCACACTATTGAATGTAGATATCACACCAGTAGATGTAAATATCACACTATTGAATGTAGATATCACACTATTAATGTAGATATCACACCAATAGTGTGATATTTACATCTACTTGGTGTATATCTACATTCAAGTAGATGTAAATATCACACTATT